TGGCTTTAGTTTGTGGTTCAGAGCCAGTTCCGGGTGGCCTGGGGATTACAAATGCTTTGCCACCAGAACAAAGGAAACTCTTTGTGAACTCTGGCAAAGCTAAACCCTTCTTCGCATTTCCAGCCGAGAGAGTAAGCCCAGTTTATAACTAGTCCCTTGAAATAAGGAATTACGAATCTTAGTTTCAGTGTGAAAACATAAGACAAATTTTTTTCTTTGTACTATGGAGCAGTTATTTCTTTTCTTCCCTCTTCCTGTTCCCCCTATGACCACTGCTACCTCTTATCAAAATGGAATCCATTGGAAATTGGCTCCCCTGGAAAATGAATGGTTTGAAAACCTTCAGCAAAGTCAAATTATTAAAAGACCCACTTTCAGACTCATGGGCTTATTTCCATTACATGTGGAAAGTGCGCTGTCTGCAGTCTGCCAGGTTCATTTGGGTTTCAGTATTCTCTACTTATATACAACTCTTACCTGTCTTCACTGCTAGAAGCCCTCCAGCAGCCACCAATTCTGACAGCAAAACCTGGGTTACCTGCTTTGCGATTGTTATCTGTTGTTCTTGTGTTCCAGCTTTCCTCATTAAATACCGTCATATAACCTTTCCTGCCACTCTGCACGCTGCTGGGAGCGCTGACCTCCCCCACCAAGCTCTGTGTCCGTGTACTGAAAACAAAAGTGGATCCTCCTTTTTATAATTCATAGGCCATCTGTTTAGCTTTTAAAAGAAGAAAAGCAGTAAGTGTAGGGTTCATGCTAGTCAGTCTCCACACCTTTAAAAAAACATAAATTAAAAAATACCCTTACCATAAACAACTTAAATGCAGCTTATCAAGGAGAGCCCTTGTGGGCACAGAGATCCTGAAAACAATGGGAAAGAATGAACTGGATCCCTCCAGCCCAACAGCTCTATGGGCTTCCCAAGGGACCTCTGTAGGTGAGTTTTCATCACCTCAGTGACCTGTGTGGTGGCCAGCACCATAATACTTCTGTCTGTTTACCCGGGTAGGAAAAAAAAATGCTGTAGTGACTATTGACTACTTTGTGATACCTTCCTGAATTCTCCCTCAAGCTGACACCTTCTAGAGAGCCCCTCTATGCTCCAGGCCCCACAAGGGAGGGAAGACAGCAAGTTCCCATGTGCCAGTGAAACCAGATGCATGCTTTTCTGCAAATTGCAGTTCAAATGACGAGGGTTTTTTTTCTGTGTAGGAAAATCAACGGGTTTGTCTACTAATTCCCACATAGAATGAACGTGGTCAATTCCATGGTAATCTTTTGGTTAAAACAAAGGGAATTTATCTTTTTAGGAAGCTCGGTCTCGTAGCATCTGAGCTGACAGAAAAATGGTAGCCATGGACATCTCCAAGAAGTCAACACAGACCCATCATCTACTCAGAGGACTCAGAGATGAAATCCGTACTGTCCTGGGGAACAGCTTGGCTAGCACTGGGAGGAGTGGCTCACGTCTTCTACAAAGTTAGGCTCCCAGACTTCTGCCTCAAAAATTGAGGAAAAAAGCGAGGCTGATCAAACGGCTGTTTCCTGTTGCATGTGACTGAAATATAACCGTTCGCGGGAGCTGCGTGAGGACACTGACACGATCAATGTGATCTAACAAGTGAACCTTTATTTCTGTGTTTCCAGTGCAATTTATAACCCTTGACCACACCCAATGAATACTTATTGGCTTCATCGCAAATAACAGCCCATAGTCCAACCTGACTGGCCACATTGCGAGTCATGTTCAAGTCATGTTCACAAATGTTCACACCCATCTTCTTCAAGAAATTAAAACTGCGTCATTAATGGTGGCTGTCCCTTCTCCTGGACCTGTAAGATGTTCATGCCCCCTGCACTGGAAGTTGTTTATGCTTTCAGCAGTTCCTGTACGTCCCAGCTCGGATCCTCTGGAAAGGCTGGATTGTTCACATGTCCCTTATTTCATAAATGTCCTCCCACAACCGTTATCCCGAACTGACTAGATTAAAGGAGGGCTGCTGCTTCATTCATTGGAATTCCTGCAGAAGTTGCCCTTTTCTGAATTACCAGCAGTAGCACTAACACGAGTGGATGGTGAAGAAGCATTCATCACGCTTTCCAGTCTGTTGCTGTTGGCTTAGTGAGGGCTTTCTTCATCATGAGCCTGAACAGGTTTATTGTCTCAGTCATGGAGTATGAACAAAAGTGATAGTGCTCACCAGGCACTTAGTTTTCTCAATTCTACTCAATTCTGATTGTAACTAATGAAAAGAATACTGCGTTTTTAGGTCGTGGTTCCAGGAAGCATTTTAAATAGAAGTAGCCTCCAGCACTGTTCAAAATACAATCTAAATAATGCAAGATTGTTAGCAGAAAATACAGCAGTATTAAGTAACACTGAGTAATGGACAACTATTCAAAGTCATTATTCTTGATCAGCCTGGATCATTATTACTGAGCCTATGTGACCTTATTTGCACTTAGTAATACTTGTAGTCATTCAGGAAAGCTAAATAATCATTACTGATTAATTACTATCGATTACACTGGGTAGTTGTATCCATATTTTGTGGATTTTCAGTGCTGTATTAGGAAGCATTGGAACTTTCCAAATATATTTGGGTTTTTTTCCTACAAAAGAGGTAGTCCTTTTCAAAAGCAAGTAGTTTGTGAAAAGTTGACTTACGTACCCTAAATCATATAAGTATTTCTGTAAAGCTCACCTGAAATGATGCATTTTTTCAGTCCAGAGAGCTTTTGTTTCAGGTAAAATAATACGTTTTGTGCAGTTTGTGAGGATGAGACTTTTTTATAGACTCTCAACTGAAACACATCATGGCAGTGTGCAAAGTGAGCCTTTCCACCGTGAGGTGAGGGACAGAGAATATATCCACTGATTTTGTTACATAAATATGTAGGTGGCATTTTGAAGAGAAGGGGGTAGGAAGGAGGAAGTCTGTGGTTCTGCTGAGTACATAACAATAACGATGCTGAAAATGGGAGGTTTCTGAAGGTTGCCTGTTGTTTTGCCTTGCAAATACCTCTTTCTGCAAATACCTGCTCGTGGCACACCTTTAACAAGAAACCATTTGCACAGTGTTTTGTCAATGCTTGTTTAGCATGAAGCTTAGAGCTGTGATGAAATGTCCCTATAGACCTTTTTATTTTCTTCCTAACTACAGGCTCACTTGACAGTGACATGTTGAAACGTTGTGTAAGAAAAGATTTGTTATAGACAATGTTGGACTTTTTTTTTTTTTTAATTAAAAATATTGTCATGGGTCTAATTGAAGGGAGTGAGCAGCCAGTATCATTAGTGTCAGGGTTTGACTGATGGCTCACTTTCCAGGTGTGCAGGGCAGTTTTTCTCTGCCATGCCACCCTCTTGCCTCAGCTAAACCAGTTTGCAGCAGAGCTGCGATGGAAGAGGCAGTGGCAAAGCGGCGACATCTCCTGCAAGACCTCTCCACAGCTCCCTTTGATGGGAGTAACCACTCAGCACGTCGGTTTTACTCCAGGCCTTTTTGGTTGTGGCACAGTCAATTAAAATGACAAAATGATGCACAACGGGAGGAAGAGCCTCATTATATTGTCGCTTGTACATGGTAGCTTGCCATCACACCTAATGAAGGGCAGAAGCTGACGGTCTGGGTTGCAACGATCCTGTGCGAAGTGCAGATGCTTCACAGTGACACCACGACAAACGCCAGTTTGGGGTTTTTTTTGCGTATCTGATAGTCTGTTGAAGATGTAAGACTGAAGGAATTCAGTTACATCCTGTTTTCATGATTGTGAGGCATGGGAGCTGGGCTGGTTGTGTTTATTCTACTTTGATTTTAAGAAAAACTAGGCGTAGCTCACAATCCACTCACCTGGGTTTAACTTCGTCAGGGTTCTTTGGTGATAGAGCAGGCAATGGTTTGAAGAGCTAAGGGATCACATTTTTTCAAGGTTTTAAGGCTAAAATGTGTCTGTGTAACCACCAGTGTGACTTCTTTTGTGCCTGTGCCTGTGCCCCCGGGAGGAGGGAGGAGGCACTCCAGGCCCGGAGCCAAGGCTCCTCTGTGGCCATGGAGGGACCCGGGGAGCTGGTTCTCCTGACAGGAACTGCAGCCATGGAGGGCCCGCGCTGGAGCAGGGGAATGTGTGAGGAGGAAGAGGCAGCAGAGAGGAGCTGCTATGGACAGACCACAGTCCCCCATTCCCTACCGCCCGTGCCACTTGGGGAGGGAGAGGTAGAGGAGTAAAAAAAGGAGGCGAAGGGAACGTGCTTTAGCTTTTTTGTCTTTCTTAACATCCAAACCTCTTTTAATTTGTAATTAATTAAAATAACTTTTTCCAAGTCAAGTCTGTTTTGCCCATGATGGTAATTGGTAAGTGATTGCCTTGTCTTTATCTTGACCCACGAGCTTTTTCGTTTTATTTTCTCCTTCCTATCCTGTTGAAGGGGAGTGGGAGAGCAGCTGGGTTGGTGGCTGGCAGCAGGTCCAGGTTGATCCATCACAATATCACATGCTGTAGGATTTTTATATAGCGGTTCCTTCAGGGGGAGGAATTCTTCCTGCATGATGTGCTTTAACATCCAGCACATAACCCTTGTTCTCAAATGTATAGCAGTGCGTACTGGTGTGAAATGTCCTGAAGGTGGGGCAGAAAGAGGGAAAGGAGGAATGTTTGTGACACACAGAGGAAATGGAATGGTATGTCCTGACCAACATTTGAGATGCCCACAGGTTTCCTGTGTTTGTAGACTTGCAAGCTTGATGGAGCTGCTGTGCTGGGTTAGATCACTTGTCAACAAAATTTCTACCAGGTTCTTCACAGTAAATCAGAAATAAGCCTTTACATTTTCTAGTAATTCCTCTGGGTTGGAAATGCGTAGCATGACAGTCACTATTTGAATGTGTCACTGAACTGTTTGTGAAGATGAGATCTTAACAAAGAAACTTACTCTGCTGAAACAAACATGGAAAAAGGAGGGTAGGATAAATGAAAACGTCTTTCTGTCCCTGCAGAAACTCAACGTATTGCATGAAGGTGTCCATGTCCTTGACGGTAGCTGAGAATGAATCTGGGCTTTGCTACAACAGCAAGATCAGATATCTGGAAAAATCAGAAGTCACTAAGAGAAAGACAATCTCCTGTCCTGATATTGAGGATTACAAAACAGCCAGTCAAGAGCCGGATGTGGTGTGGTACAAGGTGATTATTGCTGTCTTGTTGCTGTTGTGATGAAACTGTACAAAACTTCTGCTGTTTTCGGTCTGAGGCTTAGAGGTGGCCTTTTCCGAGCCTGCAGTGGTTTGTGACTGGTCTGGAGGATGCTCTCCCAGTATTACAGAAGTAGTATTAAAGTGCAGGCAAAATTACCCAGCATAGTCATTGTCCAACGGAAATCAGCATCAATGAGGATGCTCTGCGCAAGAGGTCGCATGACTTCTCTAACAGCAGTACCATGTTCCCAAACCACTTGCACCTGTACCAGTTTCCACCTTGCTGGGATATCTCCCTACCTGATACTGTTGTAGAAACAAAGGGAGGCAACCTACAATGGAGCCAAAGGTGTATCAGCACTGCCAGCTTCAGTAGTGCTACCCAATTAATTTTTATGAAGTCTGTTGGGTAATTTCACCAAGGCTTGTTAATTTTTACCAAGGTCTGCTGGGTAATTTCAGAGAGATGCATTTACTTTTGCTGAAGTTCATTGAGTAATTTTACTGAGCTCTGTTAATTTTAACTGAGGTCTGTTAGATATTTTTACTACTCAGCTGGTATCTCAGCTGGTTGTACCTTCTCCAAGGCCTGTCAGGTATCACACACCCCTTTAAACAGCAGATGTGTTTCTGCAGCTCCCCAAGAAAACAGGAGAATGACTAAAATATGGGTCATCAGGCAGACATTAAGTACCAAGACCTTAGCAAGGTTTAGCAAATTTTAACTGTTGTCTGGACTTGGACCAAAGTCTGATATTTGAAAAGCCCTTGGGTGTGAGTTGCTGCAAGAAACGATGGAGAAGAATAAAGAGCTGAGAGTCAGCGAGAACATGAAATAGTTGGGCAAGAGGAAGGGCTTGGTGGAGCCTGTGGAAAATGGAGTTTAGATTGTAGGGATGAAGGCAGAATGAGTTTAGAACAAATTTGGTTCAGGTAATGAAGACAGAAGCATACAAACCAATTAAATCCTAAATTTTGAGTGTTTGGCTTGCCAACCTTAATGAAGTTCTTTAAAGACAGTGTTTTGTGTGAAATAAGTAGGTATGTGCAGACCTGCAGATTTTTTTCATCCTTAGCAGGTTGCATCAGAAAAGAGCAATTGTAAAAGTTGTCATCTGTTTCTATTTTGTACAGAAATCTCCCGTGTTCTATCTTATAGTAACAAAACGTGTGCCACAACCCACTGTTAGTATAAACAAAGTTTTTCTTTCAGCCATTGAAGCTGTTCCTCTCAGCATATGGGTGGATATCTTCAGTGCTGTTCATACATAAATGTATGGATTTAGTTAAGTCTGAAATCTTGGAGAAAAGAGGGTACGAGAGAGTAGCTGTTTCTTGCCCTATCTGCCTGGGTATTACTGAATACCAGATCACTGAAGATCTCATTTTTTTGCAAGAGCACACTGCAAAAATAGTCTGGCTGGAATAATCTTCAGCTGTCATGGAGCTGAAATTGGTCTAAGGAAGATGCATGTACAACCCCACATCAACAATGCTTTGTGCTGACCGAGAAGGGTCTTTGTTCTGTGTACCCACACGTGTTATCTGGATCACACACAGAGGTTGTACGACACCAGGCTGGAGTGTGACAGCTCACTGAGAAGTCGTCACCGTGGTGAAATTGAACAGAATTGATGTGGTTGTGTGATAATGGTGAGACAATCGAAGTCTGACTTGATAATGAAAAGAGGCATTAGTGAAATAACCTACTACCTATACCTCCTTACCCATAATTAACAGTAAGGTGCTGTCAGTTTAGTTCTTAGACAACACCTCTGGTATCTGGACCCGAGTCAGGATGCTCAGTAATGTGTAATGTCAATAGTAATGTTATGCAGAATGTATGTTTGTCAGGTTGTCCCTTGAAACTTATTCCTGAAACAGGGTTCTGGAAAAATATTCTAGAGAGTGTTATGGCAGTAACCATTAATAGAAGTCTGCCTATTCAAAAGAGCAGAAGTCCAGTTTCTAGAAAATATATAATTCCTTGGATTTCAAAATAATATGATGAATACTGGGGTAACACCTGCAAGCCGCAGGCTGTGACTTAAGATCATGCTGTGTGAGGCAATGTGTGTAACAAAAAGAAAGTCCCTTCTCCTGAAGAAGAATATAAAGTAATATTCTGCTTTAGGATCTGACCCTCACTGTCTGAAGAAGATATCTATTTCCAGTCATAACATACTGGATCCTCAAATTTTTCCCCTCTACCTTTATGATTGAGTTTGACATGTACATGAAGGTGTAATCAGCCATCATCTTGTGTAAATCTGCTCCAGAGGCACTGGGGGGCAATTCCTTTTCATTACGCTGAACTATTTACGGAAGATTTTCATCTGGGGGGAGAGCGTAAGTTGTCCAAAATAGAACAGTAGATAAATAAATATGAGGAAGTCCTTGAGATTCCTTCTTTATACCTTTGGCTGAAAAGAGAAATCCTTGTGTTTGTGAGAACTTGACAGTTCGCTGGTAGTTGGGTAGTTTGGACTTGTGACCGATGAAATACCAGGACAGTAATGGTGCAAGACCACCATGTGCAGGACTCACCCTGCCTTCCAAAAGGCTTCTCTGTGTGGAGGGATTAATGAATCTGAGCCAATAATTGCATCAATTTACAGGGAGTTAACTGTAATTTAAACACACTCTTAACATAATTATGCTTGAACAGATTTCCACATGCACACCTGATGAGTAATACAACATTTGCTATGGGGATTTGTTTTAACAGTAGTATGAACTTCACTTCTGGCTAGAATTACACTGCATGGAATATTTATTTTGAAGATTTCCACAATTAGTGTCATTGATATATACACAGCTCTGTTACACCTGTTAGAACTATTTTGACAAGAAGTATAAGGATTTTTTTGAAATAAATGTGTATGTCAAGGCATGATTGAATGAATGGGATTTAACAGTAAGAGCAGTTTCATGAAAAATCACCTGGCAGAGGAAAAAGGTATATTACCTCTAGAATGAGGAGTCTTAATCCATTTCCACTATCCCTTTTCTGCTACAGGGTTGAAAGATGGGCTGTGAAAACAGTCAAAATGTCAGGTGAAGGACAGGTAGTTGTTATCTACCCTACCAAAAAATAGTGTTGTTGGGCTGCTGCCCCTTAAATTTCAAGGAAGAGAAAAAGAAGCATGATAGTGCACAACTTAATTATTTGGGGAAAAAACCCAAAGCAGTTAAGATGCCTAAGGAGAGTAAGTAGGCTAGAAAAAGAAACTTTCAGATATTGCTAGCAGGTAAACATGGTGCAAAACCAGAAAAGAGCAATTAATTGGTTAAACAAGCAACAGTTGTACAATTGAGCACTTAGGTTTTTAAAGAAATTAGCAGACCTATGGTGGTAAAATCTAGATTGTTTTCACAATATGAAGACTAGTTTGTTTGGGGTTTTTTAATTGGTTTGTTTCTTGACCATTTATGTTGCTTAAAATACAAATTGTTATGATTTTCCTGCTTCTCGCCTTTTTTTACTTTTAGCTTTTCATACTGAACTAGTCTGTGAAAAACAGCAGAATAAAACAGGCATTTTCAACATATGTTTAGGAAGCCTGCATAGTCAGTAGAAGAAAAATTAATTAGCTAACATTTGGTAAAGAAAGGCTTATAAATAATTTTTAATATTTTAAGTAGATACAAAAAGAAACAATTAGGAAACAATTCCAACAGAACAATTCCTCTCTGTAAAACCGCAATAGCACAAACATTGTTTGTGCTACATCATTAATCTCTGTAGTAGTAAAGATGTTGCCCTTATTACAAAGATGTAGTATATAAAAATATAAAGCGTATGAAAATGTATCTTCGATCTCTTTGCTACCTTACTTTTTAAAATAAAACAGAGAATGTAAAACTGGTACCACCTGATCCAGCACTGCACTGAAAGGGTGTGTATCTGAAATATGCTTACTTTGTGCATTCTGGGCATTGTATTCCTTCTAAATTAGGATCAAATAAACCAAATTATATTCTTTGCCCAGTGTTCAGATTTAGTTGCTCCAAGTAGGTACCTTTAAATAGTGTTGTGGTTTAACTTAGGATAAGCACTACTTAGCAACAAGTAAAACATCAGTGTGTTACGAGCCTTATTCTCGCACTAAATCCAGAACACAGCGCTGCACCAGCTACTAGGAAGAAAATTAACTCTATCCCAGCTGAAACTAGGACAAATAGGATTAAAAAATTAAGTGCAAATCAGAAAGGATTTAATGGCATTTTCCACCTCAGATCTGTGTCCTGCATGAGTCGCAAGCTATGTCAGTGCAATTTTATAACAAAAATGAGCTCTGATTCTTCTTAGCACAGCAGACAGGATCTGGATTCTGACCATTCTCTGTCATTGGTATTAACTGAAGTTCACATGCAAGACAAGATTACACTTCCCTTACAACTGCACTTCGGAAACAGAAGGATAACCAGAACACTCTGTTACCTGTTGTAGTATTGCACAGTTTCAGAATTCAAAATCTGCCCACATCGGAACTAAATTTGGCCTACTAGGGATAGGAGTAAGTGCTTCAGTGCTCCGTTTTCAAGTGGAAGGCCAGAAGCTCACAGTCCCTTTTTTCTTTATTTATTTATTATTATCCTTTAATTTAGAATCTCATATTGTGGATTTGGAATGTGTATGGAGTCCCATTAAAAAAAAAAATGTTTGTGTCATTCTGATCTCTTGCTGTCATACAACATATTTGCATGTCAACGTATTTTCTAGTTTGGTTGTTTTCTTAAGAGAAAGCTTTGTTCTATTTTGTTTGCTGTATTTCTGACACTGCTGTTGCAGATGAGCAGAAAATGGGGCATAGATCTGGGCGATTTACACAAATCTCTGAAGCTGATGAGGCTGTTGTAACTGATGTGAGATTGTTAGTTGCAGCCTGAGAGCTTATTCCGTGTTGCCACCTTGAGAGAGGCAATAGAGGGGCATTAAAGGTACTCGAGCCCTGCCTTGCTCTGTGTGCTCTGAGTACAGAATTAGCCAGAGCCTTCAGAACTGTTGGGAGTACTGAGTGTTTTAGAGAACTGAGAAAAGCATGATTTTGTCTGCAGGCAGAACAGGCTTGATGTCAAACTTATAACACAATAAATACATAATCTTAAGTACCATTGTAAAGAGACAATGATCAGATTGTGCCTGTGCTTTTAGTTCAGTGCATTCCAAGAGGTGTTCAGTCATGAGTGCCATTAGTGTGGAAGGTGACTGATCTGGCTGCAAAGATACTGTATGTTAGGAAAGGGAAAGTCTCTTCTTGCACGGCGTCACACATGATACAGAAGGACTCAAATATTATTCCAGTAGGACCTCAGTTCGTCGTGGTGAACCTAAACCGGCCAAATAACAGTTACAGTCTGCCTGGCGAAGTCAGTGGAAGTTGCAGGCCGTCAGTACCATGTACCCCATCAGGGGATGGATGTGGGGGTGGTGCTACAAAGAGCCCAGTGGTGGGAAAAGGCTGACTCAAAGCTCAGCAGGTGCCAGAGAAGCCAGTGATGAGAAACAAGACCATGAGGAAACCAGGCTTCCTGAATTCTCTTGCTCACAAAACTGCTGCTGTTCCTGTTTTCTTCTGTTGGTAAATGGTTCTAGCCTGAGACTGTGTGTAAAGTTTGTCTTCAGGCTAACTTTTAACAGATGTTGCCCTTACTCCCTTCAAACAGAGATGCATTTTAATGATCCATCCTGAAGTAGAGGTCTTGGCAGTTGTTCATCACGAAAAAAAGATACTTAACCGCTGCTTGAGGGCGCCACATATTAAACGTGGCCCATGTGATACAGTGGGAATTACTGAACCTTAAAAACATTTCTGTTTAATTTCTGTCTTCAAATTAATTCCAGTTTCAGATCTCTGTGCTTTCTGAAATTATATTTGAATTTGAATTGCAAAATATATTGAGATGGTTTTACACTTATGTATAATACTGAAAATCTGATCAGGCAACACTGTTTTGTCATACAAGCTGGGTAATTTTGGCAATGATTTTTTTTATGCAGGAATGTAAGCCAAAAATGTGGAGAAGTGTTGTAATTCAGAAGGGAAATACTCTCTTAATACAAGAGGTCCAGGAAGAAGATGGAGGAAATTATACCTGTGAACTAAAGTTTGAAGGCAAGCTTATACGAAGAACAGTTGAATTGAAGGTTACAGGTAAGAATATTTGTTCTATGCCAGTAGGAAAAAAAAAAAAAAAGGGCAAGCTTTGAGATAATAAGAAAAAGTGGATTTTGCATGTCAGTGAATCTGTTTGACAGAACTAAGTCCAAACCAAATCCCAATAGCCAAGCAGTCCCAACCTAGGGAAAGTTTATATCAAGATCTTATAAAATTTCACAGAAGACTGCTTCTACCTTTTGCTCTGTACAAAAGCTGAAAATGCTGGTTATAAAGCAAAAGGTAGAGCAGACCCAAGTCCTCCCTTTACACTGGAAGTAATTCAGACTCCAGCTTTGTCTTCAGTGCTAAACAGAGGAAAGGTTGACTGAAGCTGTAAACCGCCCTTTTGCTGAGGTTGTCCTAGAATAAAACACAACCAAAAGAGACATCTTGAGCCATTAATATTTTTTGAGTGATTGTTCCATGTTTTTAAGCTTTAGTTTAATTTGTGATGATCAATTTCTCTCATCTAGGGTTTGTCTTTAATAAAGAGTGTGGCACAACCTATTCCAAGAATGAAGTTAGGAACATTGGACTGTCAGGGCGAAAGTAAGCAGCTTATCAGGAGGTCATACATTGTGTGTTTCTGAGTCCATGTAGTAATCTACTAGTCAACAGTATTTTTCTGTCTCTTTTTGTCAGGTACTGGAAATGAATGGGTAAAATAGAATTGCCTACCAGTATATTCTTGATCCCTTTCCATTCCACTGTGCAGTATGACATCTATAATTATTTTTTTGCCTTCAGTGTCTGTGGAACTTTGCACATATCTGAAAACAGTTGAGGTTTTTCCAGCCTTTCGCACAAAACCGTATAAACAAATGGTTAGGTATTTTCCCATCTGTGTTTCAACATACTGGTTAAAATGGGGTCCTACTTAAAGCGGTGATAAGTAGAATTCTGCTTTCTTATATCAAACTGAATTAGTCCATGTAACATTTCTAATATGTTCTTGAAATACAATTCTTACTTTTATTTTGAGTGAAATGCATTTTTCTGTTCTTATCATTATTCCTCATTTTAAATGAGTTCTTTTCCCTGTGTGTCAGATTCATGTATCATGTGATTCTTTATTGTCCATTTTTGACCAGGGACAGGTCTCTAAAGTATTGGTTTGACCTACCTGACCCCAGACCTGTCAAATGAAGATATAATATCTGCCTTGTGGATAGTTGCTATCTGAGGTAGCATGCTGGTCTTCAACTGGAATATGAACTAAGTTTGACAAAGTGAAAATGAGATGCCTCTAATTCAATTCCCCGTGATGGATATTCTTTAGATAACAGATATTCTATGCTCTCCCTCTCCTCATGACCTTGCTAGAACTCATGTGTTCTCTTCGCTATTTGAACAGTGTGATATATTCATACTTCACTTTTTAATCAATTTGTCCTAAAGTAACTATAGTATATATTAAAGTTATTTGTTTTATTAAAATGTTTATGGCCTGAATTATTAAAAATGTAGATATGGAATATGCAAGTGTTCTCCTTTATGCAAAATGCTTGAGAACGAGGGATTGTTCCCCTTTTAATTTGGTGTGAAATTCATAACGGAGTTAAATTTCCTTTGGTTTATAAAAACACATATGTTAGTAAACACCTTTTTCAGATTCAAGTGTTTGGGAGACATAATTGCTCGTTGAAATCTCTCTAGATAACTGGAATGGGCTAGTAAGTTTATGTAGCTGACCTGAAAATACAGATTAGAACTATGAATGTAATACATATAACCATATGAGCATATTATCTTATAGCTTGGTGCTTTAATAAGTTTCTTCCTCCTGTTTCTATTTTTGTTTCAGTTTGTGAGTTTTGCACGCATGTGTGTTTGGAACTTTATGGGGGAGAGGTCAAAGAAAACTCATACAACAAATAGCAGAGGGTTACTGGTGTGTCTGGCCACATCAGGTGGAGGGTCCTGAGGCAGGTCAGATCACAGGCTGGGAGCAGGTACATGACATACTCAGGGACTTTGTAGAAGAAAAACATCTCATGGGAGCCAGAAAGACTACATACTGGTGTAGTTTTTGGCACACACATCCTAAGAGTTTGCTTTCCCCAGGGCTAGTGCAGATCTAGGCTGGAGGTACGCCTGGAGATCATCTCATCCAACCCCCAGCTCAAGCAGAATGAGCTACAGCAGGCTGCCCAGGGCTGTGCCCAGTTGAGTTTTGACTCCGCAACATCTCTGGGCAAGGCTGTCACAGTGTTCAGCCACCCTCACAGTAAAAAAGATTTTTCTTATGTTTAAACAGGATTTCTTTTATTACAGTTTTTGTGCCCATTGCCTCTTATTCTTTCACTGGGCACCATTGAGAACAATCTGAATCCGTCTTCTTTACACCTTCCCACCATGTTTGTGCACATGGATAAGATCCCCATGAGCTGCCTTTTCTCCAGACCAACTCACCCCAGCTCTCTCAGCCTCTCCTTATACAATACATACTCCAGCCCCTTAATCATCTTTGTGGCCCTTCACAGACTCGTTCCAGTATGCCCATGTCTCTCTTGAGTGGGACTGGTGGTGCATTGGGCCACATTATTCATCTGTCGGAAAACTGAGTTCTCATCAAAACACTCTACCAGGAGGAGCTAAGGTGAGACCAGTGTTCCAGTATGCCCATGTCTCTCTTGGAATGGGACTGGTGGTGCACTGGGCCACATTATTCATCTGTTGGAAAACTGAGTTCTCATCAAAGCACTCTACCAGGAGGAGCTAAGGTGAGACCAGAGCTCAAACTGATGAACCTGCTGGTCTTTATAAATTACTGTTAGAAAAGACTGCTGAAGGCTTACCAGCAAGCTGTGGTAGAATCATCTCTGCTAGCCTGCAATGCAGATGTGGAGAAAAGGACCTTGCCTAGTGTTTTCTTCTGCAGGAACTTTCTAATGGTGTTTCTATTGCTTACTAACATGCCTGAGTTGGCATTTATTGGCCAGTGCCTGAGTTCCTTTAACAATACAGATTTTAAACAGCAAGGCTCTGTTGTCCACTGCTAGTACTCATGGTAACCTGAAGTTGTTATTAAAGAGATACTCTGAAAGAGAAACAACCAAATCCACATCTCCCTTGAACAAGGAGAGCTGCACTGTCATGGAGAGAGAGGAGGCTGGGTTAGATGCCCTATAGTTTTCCAGGCATTCACTAAAGTACACAACGCTTGAAATACCAGTTAAGTCAATTTATTTACTTTATCTCTTGATTGTAAGACAAGTATCTTTCGTTTTTTTAAAGTTGCATCAAATCTGGTATATGAGGTTTTTAGTCCTTTTTGGAGATTCTGGTAGTTATGGAAGTGGCAATATGAAATAACTGTTATTCATAGGTGAATGCAGTATGGGCATCTAAAGAGTGAGACTTGATATCAGAATAAATGCAGTGCTGATGTAATAGAAGTTGGAATAATGGAAAACTTTGGGAAAATTTGAAGGTGCGGGAGCCAGAAGCACCATTTTAACTTGCTCTTGGAAAAGGTAATCAGAAGAGTTAATGACATCCAAGACTAATGCGGCAGCTTGACTGAAGATGTGATCCCAGAAGGCAGCCTGATCAAAGTTAATTGCAGACATGAGAGCAGTGGTGGACTAACTGAAGAATGACTGTGTGTTTGGTATTCATATTAGTGTTGCTTAAGCATTTATTTCAAGTGGAGTCTCCTAGGTGAGACTTTTAATTAGGGGCAAAGCCTGTTCTTATTAGTTAGTTATCCAGCAATTATTTAAGTGAACTTCCAGTGAAGTCATTAGAGCTATTAGAAGGTGCTGCCTTAACTTCCTGGGCCAGTGTCAGGGCAGTTGTCTGAGTGGCAGTGGCTGCGCAAGGGAGTTGCAAGGACAGCACGTGCTGGTCCTTGAGCACTGCTTTCCTCAGAGCCAGTCTTGCCTTCTCACTTTTGCAGACCCAAACAGAAGATCTCAGTGGCTCAGTTACGGGTGGAAGGGGAGTTCCTATGCCCTTTCTTCTTCCTGTGATGAAGTCATGTTATTAGCTGCTATGAGATAATGTGTAAGGAAAAACCTCTGGAGTCATAGATGAAGACTGAAAGCCATCGATGTAATGCCTGCCCACAGTAAGAAAGGCAAAGAGATCGGAGATGTATTAGTAGATGTCTGAGATGTACTAATAGATGAGCAGAGCACAAAATAAACAAGTTAAAATGATGTTTGTAGAAAGGGGTAGTTGGACTACACATGGAGTGTCGTATGTGGCTGGCAGTGTTATCATATGGCTTGGATGGTTAAGGCACGGGCAAGCGTGACTAAGATGATGAAATGCTTTAGAGGCTATAGCTCTTTGGGGTTGTAAGGAAAAGGCTTGCAGCCTAGAATGTATTTGAAAAACATTTTGACACAAAGTATTTATAGGGACAAAATCCTGAGCTACAATACAGCACTAATGAGCAGTGCCTAAATCTTGGTGTTTGGGTGCATTTAACAATAACAGATTGTCAACAAAGCAGCTTTTTCATCACTACTTCTTCATGGTTTGTTGCATTATGCAGACAGATGTGAAACAAGTCTTGTCAGCCTTTTTTGCTGAAGAAACGCAACAGCAGCGTTATTTCTTAGAAAGTAACATGTAACCCTTGAATCTACGTAAAAGAAAATGTATATACACCTTTTCACTTGGCCTCTTGGTGGTTTTGTTGTGGGCGAACAAATGAGATTAGCAACTGTCATCCAGGGTTCTAGAGCTTAAAAATGTAACAGAAACATGATTTTTAATTAGATAATAAGTTAGAGTGCACCCACATAGAAAAAATGAACATACTAATATAAAGTTACAGTTAATCAACAATAGCAGAATTTATTAATTTTTAATAAAATTTAAGATATTCAGGAATATAAGAAATCATAAGCATTTTAATTAGTATTGTTAAATGCCAGTGTTTATTGAAGAACAGTTATACTATTAGATAAAAAGAAAAACCTGAACATAAAAGTCATGTTGTTTTTGAAAGGTGATTTAGGCAATGTCCTGCTTTCCCCAGTCCTACCAGCCAGTTCACTCTGTCTGACTCGTAGCAATGTTGCAATAGCTTTTGGGGTGAAAAGGTGCAATTGAGAGAAATGTCTGCTATGTTTACCTCCTGCTTCAGCACTCTTTTTTTGGTTTTGGAACACTGGTCTGTAAGGAAACAGGCTTAGAAGAAGATGTAAGACGATGTACTTTGGAGGCTTGGGAAAGGGTGACCCCCCTGAGAAAAGAGCAAGCCCTGCTCTCATGGGGTGTCCCAGGTGTCTCCTGGCAGGGATGTGCTTTTCCATGGACAGCTATGCTAGCGGGAGAGGTTGCCTTGTTCTTTCTGTATCCTGTGTAGAGAGGTGATTTGTGAACTTGTACTGGTGAGTTATTTTGCAGTTTGACAGCAGAAGGTGGCCATCTGACCAGCTTCATAAACTGCTGGTGATGGATTGGAGTGACATGCAGGAATTACTGGACCACTCTGTCCAGCAGCCCTGTCCTCCAAGTTTCCTTCAACCTCTACTCTGTCATATTCTTCATAGGCTGCTAAAATGCCTGGCTGATCCTAAAAGTCATTTATG